AGGGTTCTGGATCACTCATGTTCTCACTGTCCTCTTTAATAAACTCAGTCTTTACAGATTTCAGCTCTTCCTGATGCTTTCATGCTCATCTTCACTTGTAGCTGATGGGAATTTACAGCATTTATTGGAGAATGGCAGTGGGAGGAGTTTCACTGATGATGGATTACAGTGGGAAGAGCTTCACTGATGATGTGATCTGCCAAAATATCAAATAAGTTATTGAGTTTGTTTTTTAAGCTCATAGACAACATATTAAAATAATGCAAATTATTCCAAAAATAATTAATGGTAAGAAAAGCAGTTAAAAAGCATAAACAGGAATAAACATATAGGCTAGTAACCAACAAATACTCTCAGCCTGTTTACACCAATGAAATAGTACATTTACAGGAGATGTGAAGACATCAGCATAATAAATGAGGAGAAAACAGGAACTATTGTCAAGAAATAAAGAGTGTTTTCAGCAGATCTGTTAATATTGATGATCCTCCGACTATCAACACTCAATCAATAAGCCATTCATGATCATCATCTCTCTTTATTCTGTTTTCTGTTAGTCAGGATAGATGATAAGTCTGTAAAACTACACTAGTGAAAGACAATACTGTTATTTTTCACAATATAACATGGATAAATCATCAATAATATAACACAATATTTCAATAAATAGCCTATTTTACGAACCTCTACAGTCAAATGCCTATAGTCTACAACACCATAATATGTAAATCTAAAGTAATTTTTGCAGACAAAGATAAATATAGACAAAGAAATAAAGGTAAACATGAAAATGGCAACAACTTGAGATAAATCCCAAAAACTAACACACACTCACTCAGGTCTGAATGAAGTGAACTCCACATATTCTCCTCAGACTCGCTGCTGCTGCACTAATTTCAGGAGGAAGACGCCAGAAAAGACGCACAAGTATCGCTGTGATCGGTGAAAACAACACAGAAATGAGTCTGTCGCTTAATCAAACTGTATTAAGTGTGTGTGATGGGTGTGTAAATATAAGAAATACCGTGAACTCCTCTCCTCCTCACCTCAGAAGACTCGACGCTGAACTCAACGAGGGAAAATAGTCTTGAGACGGCGCGAGCGGTGACGTCATCGGCACGCGCGTACGTCATACGCTGAGCTAAAGAGGCCCACTTTAAACTTTTACATAACATTTACCCTATAACATGTTTTGTTTCCAAGTTTCTAGACAATGGCACATGGTGTAGCTTTTGTAAACAGGACACTGAAACCATTCCTCATTTATTTTTAATTTTCCAGTTACCAAAAGGTATGAGGATTTGGGTACTCATTTTCTCCAATCTCAAAATATAACTCACTCATTCACCCTGAAAGATTTTATCTGTTACTTGTGTTTCCCACAAGATGGCTCCCTGGAGTTTGTATTAAACTTTATAATCTTATATGCTAAGTTCTTTATACACAAGTCTTCCTTATGTTTTAAACATTATATTTTGGAACTTAATATGTTTCTTAAATCACACAAGCTTGTAAAGAACAAGAAGAATGGAAAACTTTTGTGTCAATATGACCTATTCCCCAATTCCTCTTAATATTCTTTTTTTTTTTTTTTTTTTTTGTCTTTTGTATGTTTTGTTCTTTGTCTCTGGTATGGTATGTCTGTACAAATGTTTGATTGTATATTGATGGTTTTTTCACGTTTGTACCCAATGTTGCCTTCAATAAAAAAATTAGAGAGTGAAATTTATAAATACATTTTTTAAATATATATTCAGAACATAAAAAAGAAGCAGGAACGAACTATATACATATTCTATTTCGAATATTAACATCTAATAGTGTAAATCGCGGCAGCAGCTTCAGGTTGGTTATCCAAGACATTGTTGTCTATCTGTACTTCGGGGATTCTTCCCACCGGAGCCTCGCTTTCGATTTCAATTTAATGTTTTATTTCATGTATTTACAATATTTAATGCTGGTTTCACTAGTGACACCAAATGCTCTTAAATATGTATCCGCAGCAGCTCAAAGTTAATATCTGGTCAGAACTCGTCTTTGAGGGGCAAAGAAAAGAGTAGAAATGTTTTCTGATGAAAAAAAGCATCGCTTCATTAGCGGTTGAATATTCCAGCCAGGCGTCAATGTCTCTCTTTCTATTCAAAATCAGCTTAAATTGGTGTTTAGTGTCAAAAGGCCTTCAGAATTCCCAGGTCACCTGCTTTTTAGGCCTTTCCGGTGTCAAATGAATATGAAATGACAAAAGAGAGTTCAATGTCAAAATAGTTTTATATTTAATTAATGTCTATTTACATTCTTGACCTGACACAAAGTAAATCTCGATGAATGAATGATGATTCAAGAATAAACACAAAACTATTTGTTCAAAACAAACTTTAACTAAAGGCTGAAAGAACTAATTGATGAAATTGATCATGAAAATAATCAACAACCAAGCTGATTATAATAAACATGTCAATTTACAGCAGTTGAAAAACATTACTACGGACAAAACGCATCTGAAAAATAACGTGGTTGGTGAGCACAGGAACCATGTTATTTCTTTAATCTTATCATAAATTTGTGTTTTATGTCATTCAATATGCTTTTATGTGGCTTAGGTACAGAGAAACTGGTAACCAGGCAACAGACAAATGACCAATCCTGAGTGGCGATGTCACTACCCACATTCTTCCATGATGGTTCACGGTTAGCCAAGTGTGCTAAGAGTTCAGCGCCAAGAACGGTTTGAAATTGTGCCGTGCCGCACCAGGCTCAAGTGGACACACAACTAGATCCAAAGGTGGAACAGCAGCTTTTTTTCTCGTTACAAAAAGATGAATTAATGACTTAAGGTTGCGCGATATTGGGGAAAAAATGGCATTGCAATATTTTATTTTCAGGCGGCGTCCTTTTGCTTTTAGCTGACGTAGCTAAATTCTGCCCCGTAGCCAAAATAAGTAAAAGATTCTGTCCAGGATTTCAGAGGAGCATGAAAGTTGAGGAAATTCTATAGTCCATCATTATACTGTGAAACCAGATCATCAGTGTTGGGTAATTTTTCTGAGGTGAGATTGTTATTCCAGTAGAAAGGGCAGGTCGGTCAATGTTCTTGATGTTTCGAAATGAGATCGAATAGAGAGGATTGGTTTTAGGTAAGTTGACATTAAAAGAACTACACTTATCGTCAGAGATCCCACTACCAAATACTAAACTCATCTGATAACATCTGGTGAAGGGGACACTAGGGCTCTGTTTTCCACAATTAATACAAAAGTCACAATTTAATTAATGTATTTTATTCTTGACCTGACACAAAGTAAATATGTATAAATATTAGGGGTGGAACGGTACACAGAAGTCACGGTTCGGTTCAGACATCACGGTTCGGTACGATTTCGGTACAATGGAGGGAAAAGCAAAACAAAAATACAGAAGGCATTGTTTTTTTTTTTTAAATTTGCTTCAAATTTGTGTCTATCGCGTCTAGTTCGACGCTACTCCAAAGCGAATAGTACGGGCATATAAAGCCAACGTTTGAAGTGAACGCGCATTCGGAGCTAGCCGATGGTACAGATTACGTGTCCCTAAAGAACCCGCGTATCTAACAGTAGTTCCGAATTACATTAAAGTCCCTGTAAAGGCATTCTACAAAACAATTCTAAACACATTATAAATGTTACAAATGTATTGCTAAAACATATTACAAAGACTGTGAACTGTGAAGTTCTGAAATACGGAGTTAGACTGTTAAACAGTTTTTCACCATTGCTATTTTACGGATTTTTTGGGCGGGGCTAAAACAGGGCTCGATGACGCACTGGAGCCCCTGAGCTCATGGACACGCTCCTACTTGATGATGCGATGACTACTTGATGACTGAGGCTGATCTCTCCCCCAACAATAAAGCACATTCGCATCCGCCGCTCAATCGCGAGTAACTGTCAGTACTATTAGTTATTACAGCCTAGCTATGTCTTCGACACGGAAATGCATAGGCTACTACCTGGATGCGATCACGTACAAAACAGATCGGTGTCTTTATTTAAATTTCCTAAAAACGATCCCATCAAGAAGAGGTGGATTAATTTTGTTATCTAGTTTCTTACTCCAAACTGTCACTGAAATAGCTGACCATGTCCGGAAATCAAAGCCTTCCACCTGCCAGCCCTACCCACCTAGTTAAAATTTACCCACCCTCTCTCTCCTCACTCATAACTAAAATCATCTACTCATCTCTCATTTCTGCTCATGTTCACACTGCTCTAAGAACTGCTCCTATAGACCCTTTTACGGTTTGTACACAATGATGACGTGGCAACATATGCGCGTACATATTGGCAACGGAAGTATGGCGAGAATAAGCAGTGTGTCAAGCTCGGTCAAGCAACGCGAGTGGATTTTTATTACGCTAGAGGCTGCAGTCTTTAGCCTCCTTGTTAGAGCGCCTGACTCTCATGCCAGAGACCCGGGTTCGAGGCCCGCTCGGACCGGGTCGAGTGGGACCTGGATGTAGGGGTTAAATTGGTGCCGTGACCCGGATGAGAGTGAGGTTGAGGGGGGTGGGTGTAACGGAGGCCAGCTAGTAGTTGCTGTGCGAGTAAACCTCACTCCCCTGATCTCAATAGGCGCTCTAGCGACAGACACTAGAGGCTGCAGTCTTTAGCCTCCTTGTTAGAGCACCTGACTCTCATGCCGGAGACCCGGGTTCGAGGCCCGCTCGGAGCGGGTCGAGTGGGACCCGGGTGCAGGGGTTACACAACTCACCTTTGAAAGTCTCTCCCTTCATTCATCTGTATGACTGAGTCTATATCCACTTTTAAAACTTTGCTCAGAACTACTTAAATCGAATATTTTTTACTATGATCACTGTGATCTCAGATTGTGGTGATGTGGTTTCTTCAATGTACGGATCTTCATGTGTAACTCCAGGTCACTTTTAAAAGAGAAACTCAAACTGATCACACATCTGCAGCTTCTCTCTGCTGTGGATCTTCTCATGTCTTTTCAGGTGTGCTGACAGACGAAATCGCTTGTCGCAGTGTGAACACTTGTAAGGTTTCTCTCCAGTGTGGATCCTCTCATGTGTTTTCAGATTTTCTGACAGAGTGAATCCCTTGTCGCAGTTTGAACACTTGTAAGGTTTCTCTCCACTGTGGATCTTCTCATGTGTTTTCAGACCTGATGACTGATTGAATCTCTTGTCACAGTGTGAACATTTGTAAGGTTTTTCTCCAGTGTGGATCATCTTGTGTGTTTTCAGATGTGAAGACATACTGAAACTCTTGTCGCAGTGTGAACACTTGTAAGGTTTTTCTCCAGTGTGAATTCTCTGGTGTCGTTTTAATTCTCTCCCTGTTGCAAAAGTCTTCCCACACTCAAAGCACACGTACTCTCTCACACCAGTATGAATTCTCTGATGTACTAGTAAAGTACACCGCAGTGAAAAACTCTTTCCACACACAGAACATGAATGTGGCTTCTCCTTCATATGAACCGTCAGGTGTCTCTTCAGGTGTGATGACGCAAAAAAGGTCTTGCCGCACTGATCACATGAGAACGGCTTCTCTCCACCGTGGATCGTCATATGAGCATTAAGGGATGATAATCGACTGAAGCTATTCCCACATTGTTTGCACGTGAACGGCTTCTCTCCAGTGTGGATCCTCATGTGGACATTAAGGGATGACAATTGACTGAAACTATTCCCACATTGTTTGCATGTGAACGGCTTCTCTCCGGTGTGGATCCTGGTGTGGATCTTAAGGTACGTGGATCGACTGAAACTCCTCCCACATTGATCACATGTGAACGGCTTCTCTCCTGAATGAACTCTCGCGTGAATCTTCAAATAAAATTTGTCTGAGAATCTCTTTCCACACTGTTCACACATGAATGGTTTTTCTCCGGTGTGAACTCTGATGTGAACATTAAGATCACGTTTGTAAGTGAAACTCTTTCCACACTGAGCGCATGTGAAAGATTTCTTGTCTTGTCTTTTCTTTGAAAAGTTATTTTTAGTCTTTGAGCGACTCAAAGGTTTTTCTCCAAGTTTGACATGATGTTCCTCCTTCACTTCCATCAGTTCTTCTCTCTCCTCCTTCACTTCCATCAGGTCTGACAGAAGAGAGAAATATGAATGGAGATGAGAACTGCTATAAAATACTAGAATAATTAGTCTTTTTTAGGGCTGTGCAAAAGTTAATTGCGATTAATCGCATCCAAAATAAAAGTCTGTATTTACATAATATATTTGTGTGTGCTGTATATAATTATTTTGTATATATAAATACCCACACATGCATGTATATATTTAAGAATTATTTGCGGTTAAATTCTGTATATATTTATAAATACATAATCTATATTATATAAATATAAATATTTTATATATGAATAACATATTTTCTTAAATATATACATGCATGTGTGTGTATTTATATATACAAAATAATTATATACAGCACACACAAATATATTATATAAACAGAGACTTTTATTTTGGATGCGATTAATCGTAATTAACTTTTGCACAGCCCTAGTCTTTTTTAAATTAATTATATGTCCCTGAAACTTTCTGTGAATGAATTTCACTGTGAGAAAAAAAAAACTAATGTTTCAAGTATAGCGGAGTAAATTTTGAAATTATTATTTGTTAAAATATGCTCAAAATTCAGGTTAATATTTACACTTGAACTTTATCTAAAAGTGATGAAGTGCTTGAATGTTTCTAACATGAATGTTCTCCAGCATCATGTATGAATGAAGAATAAACACCAACCTCTTTGTTCTTCAGGATCTTCAGTGTGTTTCATTCTGCAGGGTTCTGGATCACTCATGTTCTCACTGTCCTCTTTAATGAACTCAGTCTTTGCAGATTTCAGCAAGTCTTCACTTGTAGCTGATGGAAATTTACAGCATTTATTGGATAATTGCAGTGGGAAAAGCTTCACTGATGATGTGAACTGCCAAAAGATCAAAAACGTTTAAAAGAGTTTATTTTAATCTGTTGTCCATGAGCATAAAAACAATGTAAATTCTTCCAAATATAATTAATGGTAAGAAAAGCAGTTAAAAAGCATAAAAATAAATAAACATAGGCTATATATAGTAACCAACTAATTATTAAAATAGTTTACATCAATAAAATAGTACTTTTACAGGAGATGTGAAGACATCAGCATAATAAATGAGGTGAAAACAGGAACTAATGTCATGAAATAAAGAGTGTTTTTTCAGCAGATCTGTTAATATTGATGATCCTCAGACTATCAACACTTACTTAACAAGACATTCAGGATCTTTAGCAGAACATCTCACTTTATTCTGAGTGTTTGCTGTTAGAAACACATTATTTGAGTCAGGATACATGATAAAAGTCTGTAAAACTGCACTAGTGAAAGACAATGCTGTTGTTTTTCACAATATAACATGGATAAATCATCAATAATAGAGCAAAATATTTCAATAAATAACCTCTCTTTACAAACCTCTATAAGCAAATAACTACAAAACGTTTTGACTTTATAATAACTATTAATTGCAATAAAGTAATTCAATTATTAAAAGATTTGTACAGAAACTGACAGTGATCATAAAATCTTACAAAAAAAATAACTCTTACGTTTCCTGTCACACTTCATTAATATTTGGGTCAGTGACAAACCAGGTTTGTAAAGATGAGAAATTCGAAAATCTTGTAAAAAGATGTTTTAAAAGCATGCATAAGGTATGTTAAATGTTTATGTTGATTTTATGTAATGACATTTGCAACATTTTCTACGAAAGTTATACAAAACTAGATTTTATCAGAGTTCTCTAAAAGTAATTTTTGATGTGGTTTTGCAACATTTGGCAGGACATGCTAAAACACCTCAGTTTTCTAAATAAACTAACAAATTATGTAAAAAATATAGTATTCCACTAAACTAGATTTTAAAATTTTTATTCCAACATTTTGTATATAATTATATTTTTTTGAAAAATACTGGTTATGCCAATTAACAAAAAAAAGTTACACCAACTGTCCATGTTGCTTCTAGAGTAAAAGGCCATTGTTTGTTGAAGAAATTGTGACTGAAAATCAAGCATGAAAGTCAACAAGTTCAGCAGAAGTGGTTATATTTTTGTCAATGCTGAAAAAAAATGATACTGAAAAGAGTTAATGAGGTTACGCGCAGTACATTTGAGCGTCAGCAAAAAACAACGTTCATTCTGGTGTTACGTACAACTTCAAATGTAAAAAGAAGAAATTTTCTCTTTTAATAAAAGAACACTGATTTTATCTCTGACTGTCATTTATTATACATTTTCTTTAAAAAAATCAGTCATTTAAAAATTAAATCGTGAACAGGGTGAATCGAGATCGCGATTTTATCAAATTTGTTCATTTTGATGAACGAGTTCGAACAGGAGAGTCACGAACGCGCATCACAGAAGCAAGGCGACCATTTGAGCTTATAAAACTTAATCTTTGGTATTTTTTTTAAAAAAATTCGCTTGAAAAGACCCTTATCCATCGTCTGAAATCGCTTAAAGCCCTTTGAACAGTTTCCTGGACAGAACTGGACAAACTTTGAACAGTTTCCAAAAATCCTGGAATGTTTTCATCAAAAACCTTCATTTATTTTCAACTGAAGACAGAATGACATGGACATCTTGTACATGGAGTAATGGACATGGAGTAAATTATCAGCAAAAGTTTTTTTTTTTTTTTTTTTTTTTAAGTGAACTACTCCTTTAAGGTAAGCCTAATGGCAAAAAGCAGCAAAAATGTAAAAGAAAGCTATAAACTTTAATACTTTAACTTTTGCCACTGAGACCCTTCATGCCACATGATATGGGTCGTATTTTTGCTAATCCCCATAGATTTCAGTTGACGATTCTGTTTAAAGTTATAAACAACAAAAATTAAAGGAATGGAAAAAAAGAGCAGGATGTGCTTTATATTGAAAAGAAATATTAAAAGGGGGATAAGTTGCAAAAGAGAACAGAATTACTGGCAGGATGCTGTGCACGGAAAAGCATAGCCTTGTCTTCGGTTGTGCACCTAAAAGCCCAAATAAATACAGAAATATATAAAAATGGCAAGTCGAGTATTCATGTAAACACAGTAAATATAAGTACAGTGTTTTCTCTCTCACTCATATGCAGACAGAGAGGATTTATGCTCACCAGTTGATAACCCAACCTCACAGAAATTAAAATTGAAACTTTGCTAAATATTTGTTTGTTTTTAGCCTAATGCTGTTGAAAATTTTTATTAAAAAAATAAAACAAACAAATTTAAAAAAAAAATCTCTTTAATAATAAAATTATATAATTATTTTACTGTGGCTCTTTTGGAAAATTCATTAACCAAAACTGAAAAAAAAAGAAAAAAAAAACACCCTTGGTGTAGTGGAAAAGTGCCATTCATTTCTTACATAGACGTTTGAAAAGAAAACAAAAATGATGACTTTATGCAACTACTCATTTCCCTCTCTGTGGGCCTCGAGTGAGTTCACATGGTTTGTGTTGCACATAATTGTGTTCCATTGACTTTCTTTACAGATAAATAGTTATAATGTAAGGTTATGCCAAACTAGCTGATATGTTGTTTTATTGAGAATTTCACCTTTTTTAAACTAGATCAATTATTTGGTACAAAGTTTTGACGGTTACACTGCATAGGCATTTTTGCAATCATGTCCCAAATATTCTCTCAAAATGTACAAAAACAGATATTTTAGATTTCGTCCTCAAAAAAGAACATGTATGCAAGTAATTTTATTTTGAAATGTTAACCGTTTTAAATGTATTTAAACCATATGGATACACACACACACACACACACACACACACACAAATTCCCCACGTTCTACAGGGGCAATAATGTGTTAGAATAGACCTACATTTTAAAGTAATTTTAAGTAAATGTATTCTGCCAAAGATAAATGTATAGGCTACAAAGAAGTAAAGGTAAAAATGAAAATGAAAACAGTAACTCTTTTCTCCAACATTTCCCCTCACACATATCAAACTTTGACTTTTGTTTTGACATTCAATAACGGTTCTCACTCCAAACATCAAGACAATCACACAAACGAACAGATTCTCCTCAGGCTAGCTGCTGCTGCACTAAATGTGTATTTCAGGAGAAAGACGCCAGAAAAGACGCCCATGTATCGCTGTGATCGACGAAAACAATACAGAAATGAGTCTGTCGCTTAATCAAACTGTATAAGGGTGTGTAAATACCGTGAACTGCTCTCCTCACCTCAGAAAAATCGACGCTGAAAGAGACGGCCGGCGCGAGGAGTGACGTCACCCCGTCCGCGCCAGTATAGTTGGGGAAGACGGGGGGAAGATACCACCTTTGCCTCTGATTGGCTAGAAGGGCTCTCTTCCGATTGGCTAACTCCACCATCCCCCCTCTCTCTCTCTCTCTAACCCACCTATCATCTCTCTCTCTCATATCACAAATCTCCAAAACTACCGCGACTGCGAGGTCTAATGAAAACGCGTCCAACAGAAGTGAATTATGCATTGCTTTAAAACTGTGACAATATTGTGACACATTATTTTCTTTCAATAGAGCAATTTAATTGGCTTGTATCGTGTATCCTGACTAAAATAATGTGTTCCTAACAGCAAACATTCAGAATAAAGTGAGATGATCTACTGATGATCCTGAATGGCTTGTTGAATGAGTGTTGGTCTGAGGATCATGAATATTAACAGATCTGCTGAAAACACAATTTATTTCATGACAATAGTTCCTGTTTTCACCTCATTTATTATGCTGGTGTCTTCAGATCTCATGTAAATTGTCACTTAAAGGGATAGTTCACTTTGAAATGAATTTTTGATATGTTTTAGCTTACCTCAAGGACATCCAAGATGTAGGTGTCTTTGTTTCCACAGTTTCAATGTTGATATTTTTCAGTCAAACCGTTGTTGTCTATCAGTCATATAATGGAAGTCTATGGAGCCCACCTCAAAGAGCATACACAGAGAAGTCCAAATTTAACATGATTTAATGACTCGTAAATGTAAGTACACATTGATGGCCTAAGACACGAAACAAGCGGTTTGTCAAAATAATGATTGAAATTTGAAAATACTGTGGAAACAAAGACACCTACATCTTGGATGCCCTTGAGGTGAGCTAAAACATATCAAAAATTAATTTCAAAGTGAACTATCCCTTTAAAGCTTATTCCTGAGGGGATTTGTTGGTTACTATATGTAAACTTATGTTTATTTCTGTTTTTCAACTTTGTTTTTAATTACCATTATTTATATTTGGGAGAATTTACATTATTACAGTTACAAAATCAGTAACTGTATTAGTAATAAGTATGGTAATAGTATTGTATATTTTGGCAGATCAGCTCCTCCCACGTCAAGCTCCCCCCACTGTAATTCATCATCAGTGAAGCTCCTCCCACTGCCATTCTCCAATAAATGCTGGAATATTCCCATCAGCTACAAGTGAAGACGAGCATCAGGAAGAGCTGAAATCTGAGTTTAGGACAGTGAGAACATACATTTCGAGTGATCCAGAAACCTGCAGAATGAAACACACTGAAGATCCTGAAGAACAAAGAGGTTGGTGCTTATTCTTCATTCATGATGATAGAAAGATTTAAGCACTTTTCAAATCGGTACTCAATTTATTATTATTGTTGTTATTTTTTCATTTTCATCAAATTGTCAGTAAAGAGATGTTTGAGAAACGTATCAAGTTAACCGTTTTTGCAGCCATGTTACAAAATGTTGGACATTTCCCAATATATATATATATATATATAAACTTTTGAACAGTAGAGTAGGTCCAAAGTTTTTAAGGAAAGTCTTTGTGCACAGAAAATATATATTTAGATGACTTTTAACTTAAACTTGATTTTGTGAATAAGCTACAAACAATACATTCAACCAATCATTAAGTCTCCTTACATTCATTCTCTATAGTTCCCTCAATCGTCATTGATATTCCCAGCGGAGAGTCGTTGTCTCTTCAGGTGTGAATCACAGCATTATTCATGATGTTTCACACCAGCCATTCTGACATTAAGCGCCCAATTTGAACAATCTAAGTGCATGGTCCTTAAATAACACAAAAATATTGTGCTTTTGGTTTGAAAGGGTCTTTTTATGTTATTAAAAAAACATAACAAAAAGCAAGTCCGGGTGAGAAAAACTAACGTAAAAGTAACATAATGCATTACTTTTGTTAAAAAGTAACTAATGCGAGGGAGTAAGACAACATTGTATTTATTTATCACTTCAGAAAAGTGATTTGTGCCTATAATGTCTTGAAAATAATCATTGAAAGATCAATGTACCTCAACTCATGCAATTCATTTATGAAAACACACCAGAATTATCATAATATGTTATAGCAGTTTTCTAGTAACTTACATCAGGGCTCACTTTCACATTTCTCTCGTAGAATTGTTTTGATGTACTGAAAATTAAATAAATTTCTTTCCTGTCAGACCTGATGGAAGAGAGCGAGGAGAGTGAAGAACTGAGAGAAGTGGAGGAGGAACATCATGTCCAACCTGGAGAAAAACCTTTGAGTCGCTCAAAGACTAAAAATACATTTTTAAAGAAAAGAAGAGCCAAGAAATCTTTCACCTGCACTCAGTGTGGGAAGAGTTTCACAAGCAATAATCAACTTGAGATTCATATTAGAGTTCACACTGGAGAGAAGCCGTTCATGTGTGATCAATGCGGAAAGAGTTGCTCTAATAAAAGTGACCTGAGGATACACATGAGAGTTCACACCGGAGAGAAGCCGTTCTCATGCGATCAGTGCGGGAAGAGTTTCACACAGTCAGGAAACCTGAGGATACACATGAGGATCCACACTGGAGAAAAGCCATACAAGTGTGTTCAGTGTGGAAACAGTTTCACATTAAAACATAATCTTGAGGTTCACATGAGAATTCACATCGGAGAGAAGCCGTTCACATGTGATCAATGCAGAAAAACTTTTCTTAGTGCATCACACCTGAAGAAACACGTGAGAGTTCATACGAAGGAGAAGCCGCATTCATGTTCTGTGTGTGGAAAGAGTTTTTCACTGCTGCCATATTTACAACTACATCAAAGAATTCATACTGCTGTGAAAGAGTACATGTGCTTTGAGTGTGAGAAGACTTTTACTACAGCGAACTGTTTAAAACTGCACCAGAGAATTCACACTGGAGAAAAACCTTACAAGTGTTCACACTGTGACAAGAGATTCAGTCAGTCATCAAATCTGAAAAAACATGAGAAGATCCACACTGGAGAAAAACCTTACAAGTGTTCACACTGTGACAAGAGATTCAGTGTTTCTTCACATCTGAAAACACATGAGAGGATCCACACTGGAGAAAAACCTTACAAGTGTTCACACTGTGACAAGAGATTCAGTCACTCATCAACTCGGAGAACACATGAGAGGATTCACACTGGAGAAAAACCTTACAAGTGTTCACACTGCGACAAGAGATTCAGTGACTCATCAACTCTGAGAACACATGAGAAGATCCACACTAGAGAGAAACCACACACGCGTGATCAATGTGGAAAGAGTTTCACGCAATCAGGATCTCTTAAGTGTCAATCCACTTAAATGTAAATCCACACTGGAGAAGAGAAAAACTAGTTTCAGACACAAATCAACTCTTTAGAACCACAAGAAAGAACATTTAACTGTGATCAGTGCGCTAAAGATTCATTGGGCTTCAGTCCTGAAGAAACACCTGAAGATTCACACAGAGGAGAAGATTCATTAGTAATATTACAGCAGAAAAGACACGGCGGTGTGTTTCAGTGATAGAAGTCCTTTGCTACAGACGATAAATAGAAAGATCACCAGGAAATTCACACTTTTAAGAGAGACATGAATCTGATTTTACAGTTTTTTTTTTAAATTGCTAAAACACTAAACTCTCTGAATTTGTTGAATAAATCACTTTTTCTGTTAAACATTAACTAGTTCTGGTAGTAAAAACACTGTTTTCAAGTCTAATGCACTCTTTTATTTTTTAAAAAATAAACACATTCTCACTCCGTAAAACCTATTTTACACTATGATCTATGATCCACTTATGTTTCAAAACACTAAACAAAGGCAGGCAAAAGTTAAACAAAAGTAAAGCCCAATTGTCACACACAACGACTCAAAATTGCTCACACTTATTTCTATGATGTGTGTAACGACTTTTCAATGCCGTTGATAATAGGAGTGATATGCAGAAGGATGTAGATGCATGCAAATGTCTTTCTTTATTACTTGTGCTCCATTAAACGTGATCTCAAAACTTGTCTTGTGGCCTGTCCTTGCTCATAAATCCAACAAATGGCTCCTACACACTGGCCGTTTAAGTGATTACGACACATTGACATAATTACAAATTCATACAAAATGCAGACATGCAAACCTATTCAAGTTTTGTACAAATGTATGTAATGGACAGTCAATTCAAACACTTGAAATGTTGAATGCCCTATTTTAGTCTGCTTCTAGTAAAAGGCAAAGCTTGCTAATTGGACGTTCTAAGATAATACTTTTAGTTTCGCTGAACATACAAAACTCTTGTTGTCTGGGTAGGTATAATAAAATAATACAAAATCTCATCTGACTGGTCACTAGAAACAAACTAAGGGACATAAAAATAAATAAATAAATAAAACAGCTGGTGCATATAATAAAAAAGGAATAAGTAATTAAATAAGTAATAAAAAATAGGTAACTTTACTTGACATAAAAATGTAATTAAGTGTTAATACTCTATCAAATTATTTTATAACAGTGTAATTAATATTTTTCTGCCTTGGTACAAGTTTAACTTGTCATTAAATGTTAAGTGGTATGTCAAATCATTTTAATTACCTTAACAAAATGCAACAGACACATTGAAAGATTATATTTAACTTTATGAATGTGCACAATACATTAAATACAACACATTTCCTTCCTCACACAGAGGGTTCTGACATGTTCTAAAATAGATTAAAAAACCCTTACAAAATATAATTGTGCTTCCTCAAACAGAGGGTTACAAAATAATCTCAACACATATTTAGTGTTTTGGAGGGAAGACAACAGGATAAACATGTTTATGAAAAAACTGTTTACTTGTACATTTCTGGGAGGAGACAGGTTAATCCATAAAGCTAAGTAGTTTCTTAAGTTTGATAATCTGCTATGTTATGTTAATGATATGTATGTTGTCTTGGTAATGTCAAGTTGTCATGACAAAGACACTGACAGGTTATGATGTGTTGGTTTATGTACAGGGGTCATAACAAAGACATCTCAAACAATGTCATATTTGCAATTGAAATGGCATAGTTGAGTTAATGACACTTATTATGACATAACATGCATAATTGTCATAAACATGCATATTCAAATGGAGCTGATGCTAATAATGTCACAGTGTCTGGTTTGTGTTTCCTGGGTAACCACTAGAGGTCCTCGGTCCTACACTCTGTTACTACATTTGCAGCCACTGCCGCCCCTATGCAACCTGCTGTTGTCCCAGAGGCCGTCCCATACTGTATGCTGTCGTCCCAGAACTCCCCACCATCCGTCCTGCCACGGCCAAGAAGGCTGTTTTCCTTTTTTAATGCATTGACTGTTCTGTGTGCATGGAGGAGGCACATGAGTCCAGCCGACCCTGAGACTGTTCACGTCACGTCTGTCCTTCACGTCGTTCCCAGTCAGATACTGTTCATGTCAGTCCTGCCATGGCCAAGAGAACGGTTCTCTCATTTTATGCTTTGGCCATGCTGTATGCATGGAGGACGCACATGGTGTCAGCAGATCCAGAGACTGGTCACGTTATGTCTTAGCCAGAGTCTGTTCCTGAGCCAGCCAGAGTCTGTTCCTGAGCCGGAGCCAGAGTCTGTTCCTGAGCCAGAGCCAGCGTTTGTTTCTGAGCCGGAGCCAGAGTCTGTTCCTGAGCCGGTGACAGAGTCTGTTCCTGAGCCGGAGCCAGAGTCTGTTCCTGAGCCGGTGGCAGAGTCTGTTCCTGAGCTGGAGCCAGCGTTTGTTTCTGAGCCGGAGCCAGAGTCTGTTCCTGAGCCGGTGGCAGAGTCTGTTCCTGAGCCGGAGCCAGAGTCTGTTTCTGAGCCGGAGCCAGCGTTTGTTTCTGAGCCGGAGCCAGAGTCTGTTCCTGAGCCGGTGGCAGAGTCTGTTCCTGAGCCGGAGCCAGAGTCTGTTCCTGAGCCGGAGCCAGAGTCTGTTCCTGAGCCAGAGCCAGCGTTTGTTTCTGAGCCGGAGCCTGTTCCTGAGCCAGCCAGAGTCTGTTCCTGAGCCGGAGCCAGAGTCTGTTCCTGAGCCGGAGCCAGAGTCTGTTCCTGAGCCGGTGGCAGAGTCTGTTTCTGAGACGGAGCCAGAGTCTGTTTCTGAGCCGGAGCCAGAGTCTGTTCCTGAGCCGGAGCCAGAGTCTGTTCCTGAGCCGGAGCCAGCGTTTGTTTCTGAGCCGGAGCCAGAGTCTGTTCCTGAGCCAGAGCCAGCGTTTGTTTCTGAGCCGGAGCCTGTTCCTGAGCCAGCCAGAGTCTGTTCCTGAGCCGGAGCCAGAGTCTGTTCCTGAGCCGGAGCCAGAGTCTGTTCCTGAGACGGAGCCAGAGTCTGTTTCTGAGACGGAGCCAGAGTCTGTTTCTGAGCCGGAGCCAGAGTCTGTTCCTGAGCCGGAGCCAGAGTCTGTTCCTGAGCCGGAGCCAGCGTTTGTTTCTGAGCCGGAGCCAGAGTCTGTTCCTGAGCCAGCCAGAGTCTGTTCCTGAGACGGAGCCAGAGTCTGTTTCTGAGCCGGAGCCAGAGTCTGTTCCTAAGCCGGAGCCAGCGTTTGTTTCTGAGCCGGAGCCAGAGTCTGTTCCTGAGCCAGCCAGAGTCTGTTCCTGAGACGGAGCCAGAGTCTGTTTCTGAGACGGAGCCAGAGTCTGTTTCTGAGCCGGAGCCAGAGTCTGTTCCTGAGCCGGAGCCAGAGTCTGTTCCTAAGCCGGAGCCAGCGTTTGTTTCTGAGCCGGAGCCAGAGTCTGTTCCTGAGACGGAGCCAGAGTCTGTTCCTGAGCTGGAGCCAGCGTTTGTTTCTGAGCCGGAGCCAGAGTCTGTTCCTGAGCCGGTGGCAGAGTCTGTTCCTGAGCCGGAGCCAGAGTCTGTTTCTGAGCCGGAGCCAGCGTTTGTTTCTGAGCCGGAGCCAGAGTCTGTTCCTGAGCCGGTGGCAGAGTCTGTTCCTGAGCCGGAGCCAGAGTCTGTTCCTGAGCCGGAGCCAGAGTCTGTTCCTGAGCCAGAGCCAGCGTTTGTTTCTGAGCCGGAGCCTGTTCCTGAGCCAGCCAGAGTCTGTTCCTGAGCCGGAGCCAGAGTCTGTTCCTGAGCCGGAGCCAGAGTCTGTTCCTGAGCCGGTGGCAGAGTCTGTTCCTGAGCCGGAGCCAGAGTCTGTTCCTGAGCCGGAGCCAGCGTTTGTTTCTGAGCCGGAGCCAGAGTCTGTTCCTGAGCCGGTGGCAGAGTCTGTTCCTGAGCCGGAGCCAGCGTTTGTTTCTGAGCCGGAGCCAGAGTCTGTTCCTGAGCCGGAGCCAGAGTCTGTTCCTGAGCCGGAGCCAGAGTCTGTTCCTAAGCCGGAGCCAGCGTTTGTTTCTGAGCCGGAGCCAGAGTCTGTTCCTGAGCCAGCCAGAGTCTGTTCCTGAGACGGAGCCAGAGTCTGTTTCTGAGACGGAGCCAGAGTCTGTTCCTGAGCCGGTGGCAGAGTCTGTTCCTGAGCCGGTGGCAGAGTCTGTTCCTGAGCCGGAGCCAGAGTCTGTTTCTGAGCCGGAGCCAGCGTTTGTTTCTGAGCCGGAGCCAGAGTCTGTTCCTGAGCCGGTGGCAGAGTCTGTTCCTGAGCCGGAGCCAGAGTCTGTTCCTGAGCCGGAGCCAGAGTCTGTTCCTGAGCCAGAGCCAGCGTTTGTTTCTGAGCCGGAGCCTGTTCCTGAGCCAGCCAGAGTCTGTTCCTGAGCCGGAGCCAGAGTCTGTTCCTGAGCCGGAGCCAGAGTCTGTTCCTGAGCCGGTGGCAGAGTCTGTTCCTGAGCCGGAGCCAGAGTCTGTTCCTGAGCCGGAGCCAGAGTCTGTTCCTGAGCCGGAGCCAGAGTCTGTTCCTGAGCCGGAGCCAGCGTTTGTTTCTGAGCCGGAGCCAGAGTCTGTTCCTGAGCCGGTGGCAGAGTCTGTTCCTGAGCCGGAGCCAGCGTTTGTTTCTGAGCCGGAGCCAGAGTCTGTTCCTGAGCCGGAGCCAGAGTCTGTTCCTGAGCCGGAGCCAGAGTCTGTTCCTAAGCCGGAGCCAGCGTTTGTTTCTGAGCCGGAGCCAGAGTCTGTTCCTGAGCCAGCCAGAGTCTGTTCCTGAGACGGAGCCAGAGTCTGTTTCTGAGACGGAGCCAGAGTCTGTTTCTGAGCCGGAGCCAGAGTCTGTTCCTGAGCCGGAGCCAGAGTCTGTTCCTGAGCCGGAGCCAGCGTTTGTTTCTGAGCCGGAGCCAGAGTCTGTTCCTGAGCCAGCCAGAGTCTGTTCCTGAGACGGAGCCAGAGTCTGTTTCTGAGCCGGAGCCAGAGTCTGTTCCTAAGCCGGAGCCAGCGTTTGTTTCTGAGCCGGAGCCAGAGTCTGTTCCTGAGCCAGCCAGAGTCTGTTCCTGAGACGGAGCCAGAGTCTGTTTCTGAGACGGAGCCAGAGTCTGTTTCTGAGCCGGAGCCAGAGTCTGTTCCTGAGCCGGAGCCAGAGTCTGTTCCTAAGCCGGAGCCAGCGTTTGTTTCTGAGCCGGAGCCAGAGTCTGTTCCTGAGACGGAGCCAGAGTCTGTTTCTGAGACGGAGCCAGAGTCTGTTTCTGAGCCGGAGCCAGAGTCTGTTTCTGAGCCGGAGCCAGAGTCTGTTCCTGAGCCGGAGCCAGAGTCTGTTCCTGAGCCGGAGCCAGAGTCTGTTCCTGAGCCGGAGTCAGAGTCTGTTCCTGAGCCGGAGCCAGAGTCTGTTCCTGAGCCAGCCAGAGTCTGTTCCTGAGCCGGAGCCAGAGTCTGTTTCTGAGCCGGAGCCAGAGTCTGTTCCTGAGCCGGAGCCAGAGTCTGTTCCTGAGCCGGAGTCAGAGTCTGTTCCTGAGCCGGAGCCAGAGTCTGTTCCTGAGCCGGAGCCAGAGTCTGTTTCTGAGCCGGAGTCAGAGTCTGTTCCTGAGCCGGAGCCAGAGTCTGTTCCTGAGCCGGAGTCAGAGTCTGTTCCTGAGCCGGAGCCAGAGTCTGTTCCTGAGCCGGAGTCAGAGTCTGTTCCTGAGCCAGCCAGAGTCTGTTCCTGAGCCGGTGCCAGAGTCTGTTCCTGAGCCGGAGCCAGAGTCTGTTCCTGAGCCGGAGCCAGAGTCTGTTCCTGAGCCGGTGGCAGAGTCTGTTCCTGAGCCAGCCAGAGTCTGTTCCTGAGCCGGTGCCAGAGTCTGTTCCTGAGCCGGAGCCAGAGTCTGTTCCTGAGCCGGAGCCAGAGTCTGTTTCTGAGCCGGAGTCAGAGTCTGTTCCTGAGCCGGAGCCAGAGTCTGTTCCTGAGCCGGAGTCAGAGTCTGTTCCTGAGCCGGAGCCAGAGTCTGTTCCTGAGCCGGAGTCAGAGTCTGTTCCTGAGCCGGAGCCAGAGTCTGTTCCTGAGCCGGAGCCAGAGTCTGTTCCTGAGCCGGAGTCAGAGTCTGTTCCTGAGCCGGAGCCAGAGTCTGTTCCTGAGCCGGAGTCAGAGTCTGTTCCTGAGCCGGAGTCAGAGTCTGTTCCTGAGCCGGTGCCAGAGTCGGTTCCTGAGCCGGAGCCAGAGTCTGTTCCTGAGCCGGAGCCAGAGTCTGTTCCTGAGCCGGAGCCAGAGTCTGTTCCTGAGCCGGAGCCAGAGTCTGTTCCTGAGCCGGTGGCAGAGTCTGTTCCTGAGCCGGAGCCAGCGTTTGTTTCTGAGCCGGAGCCAGAGTCTGTTCCTGAGCCGGAGCCAGAGTCTGTTCCTGAGCCGGAGCCAGAGTCTGTTCCTAAGCCGGAGCCAGCGTTTGTTTCTGAGCCGGAGCCAGAGTCTGTTCCTGAGCCAGCCAGAGTCTGTTCCTGAGACGGAGCCAGAGTCTGTTTCTGAGACGGAGCCAGAGTCTGTTTCTGAGCCGGAGCCAGAGTCTGTTCCTGAGCCGGAGCCAGAGTCTGTTCCTGAGCCGGAGCCAGCGTTTGTTTCTGAGCCGGAGCCAGAGTCTGTTCCTGAGCCAGCCAGAGTCTGTTCCTGAGACGGAGCCAGAGTCTGTTTCTGAGCCGGAGCCAGAGTCTGTTCCTAAGCCGGAGCCAGCGTTTGTTTCTGAGCCGGAGCCAGAGTCTGTTCCTGAGCCAGCCAGAGTCTGTTCCTGAGACGGAGCCAGAGTCTGTTTCTGAGCCGGAGCCAGAGTCTGTTCCTGAGCCGGAGCCAGAGTCTGTTCCTAAGCCGGAGCCAGCGTTTGTTTCTGAGCCGGAGCCAGAGTCTGTTCCTGAGACGGAGCCAGAGTCTGTTTCTGAGACGGAGCCAGAGTCTGTTTCTGAGCCGGAGCCAGAGTCTGTTTCTGAGCCGGAGCCAGAGTCTGTTCCTGAGCCGGAGCCAGAGTCTGTTCCTGAGCCGGAGCCAGAGTCTGTTCCTGAGCCGGAGTCAGAGTCTGTTCCTGAGCCGGAGCCAGAGTCTGTTCCTGAGCCAGCCAGAGTCTGTTCCTGAGCCGGAGCCAGAGTCTGTTTCTGAGCCGGAGCCAGAGTCTGTTCCTGAGCCGGAGCCAGAGTCTGTTCCTGAGCCGGAGTCAGAGTCTGTTCCTGAGCCGGAGCCAGAGTCTGTTCCTGAGCCGGAGCCAGAGTCTGTTTCTGAGCCGGAGTCAGAGTCTGTTCCTGAGCCGGAGCCAGAGTCTGTTCCTGAGCCGGAGTCAGAGTCTGTTCCTGAGCCGGAGCCAGAGTCTGTTCCTGAGCCGGAGTCAGAGTCTGTTCCTGAGCCAGCCAGAGTCTGTTCCTGAGCCGGTGCCAGAGTCTGTTCCTGAGCCGGAGCCAGAGTCTGTTCCTGAGCCGGAGCCAGAGTCTGTTCCTGAGCCGGTGGCAGAGTCTGTTCCTGAGCCAGCCAGAGTCTGTTCCTGAGCCGGTGCCAGAGTCTGTTCCTGAGCCGGAGCCAGAGTCTGTTCCTGAGCCGGAGCCAGAGTCTGTTTCTGAGCCGGAGTCAGAGTCTGTTCCTGAGCCGGAGCCAGAGTCTGTTCCTGAGCCGGAGTCAGAGTCTGTTCCTGAGCCGGAGCCAGAGTCTGTTCCTGAGCCGGAGTCAGAGTCTGTTCCTGAGCCGGAGCCAGAGTCTGTTCCTGAGCCGGAGCCAGAGTCTGTTCCTGAGCCGGAGTCAGAGTCTGTTCCTGAGCCGGAGCCAGAGTCTGTTCCTGAGCCGGAGTCAGAGTCTGTTCCTGAGCCGGTGCCAGAGTCGGTTCCTGAGCCGGAGCCAGAGTCTGTTCCTGAGCCGGAGCCAGAGTCTGTTCCTGAGCCGGAGCCAGAGTCTGTTCCTGAGCCGGAGCCAGAGTCTGTTTCTGAGCCGGAGTCAGAGTCTGTTCCTGAGCCAGCCAGAGTCTGTTCCTGAGCTGGAGCCAGAGTCTGTTTCTGAGCCGGAGTCAGAGTCTGTTCCTGAGCCAGCCAGAGTCTGTTCCTGAGCCGGAGCCAGAGTCTGTTTCTGAGCCGGAGCCGGAGTCTGTTCCTGAGCCGGAGCCAGAGTCTGTTCCTGAGCCGGAGCCGGAGTCTGTTCCTGAGCCGGAGCCAGAATCTGTTGTGTCACAGTGTCTGGTTTGTGTTTCCTGGGTAACCACTAGAGGTCCTCTTCTCGCACTGTGTCCTACACTCTGTTACTACATATCCCATGATCCTGTCTGTCACCGAGTGTTCATTGTGTTCAGCTGTTTCTCGTCACCTTGTTTAGCACTTGTGTATACATACCCTGTCAGTTTCAGTGTTTGTCATGGAGTCCTTGTTTAATGTCCCCACACTTCAGTTTATATATCTGCCTGATTCTTGTTTGTTTCGTGTATTGTTGGATTGCCTTATTGGATTTTTGACCCTTGCCTGGACTCTTGTGAGTATGGGTTACCCTTTATTAAATACTGCTCTTGGATCTCACGTCTCCTGTGTGTGTGTGTGATCGTGACAAATAATTACTTTACAATACTTTAAAAACTGTTTAAGAATTGAGGAGTCATGGATAGTGGATACTTTAGTAACAAGCCAATTTTATTACTAATGTTTTTATTTCTAGAACTGAACCAGATACAGGAAATGTTTAAATAAAGAAGTGAAACTAACAGTAATGCTCTTGCGTGCCAAAGTAGAGCTTATTCACTGAGTTCTCAGGGTTTCATCACTCACTCTGTCAAATGAGAGGAAGTTCACAAGCAAAGGAAGGAGCTGATGATGTTTATAGGAAAGAGCTGTAACTATATATAATGAAGAGGAGGAGTTGTAACTATATATAATGAAGAGGGGGATCTGATAGTGTATATAATGAAGAGAAAGACGGACAGAAGCAGAAATGTCTGATCAGTGTGATCTGTGTCTGCTGGGACTGATCATTCTCTCTTCACTTCTCACAGGTAAAGAAATCTGTATTTTCTCTAAACACATTTAGTGGAATTAGTCTGGAAAGAGTTGATTTGAACATGCTCAGTTTATTCTTGCACACATTCACGTCGTGATCTCAGAGTTGTGTATTGATACACACAGATCATACTGTATTATTCCTGATACTGGACATAGTGTCACTCAAACATCTGATGATGAAGAATGATCTTCATATTAAGAGTGTGTCAGTGATTTGAACAGCTCTCTGATAAACACTTATAGTTTATTCTGGAGAGTGTGATGTTTGCTTTTAGTGAGGAAAAAAGATTGTATTTGAATCTTCTGCTTTTTACTTGTGTTTCAGGCACCAGTGGAGCGGATGATGATCATGTGTTCATCAGTTCTGGTGTAAATGTCCGTCTGTCCTGTAATAATGCTCTTTCTGACTGCAAATCAACTATATGGATCTACTTTAACAGCTTCAGTCATTCAGGAGTAGTTGGACTGATTGAATTAGGGGTAAAGAAGAAAGACACAGAGAGACTGAGTCTGGAGTCTGACTGCTCTCTGAACATCAAGAACGTCACAGAAGAAGATTATGGATCTTACACCTGCAGACAATTTGTGAACGGACAACAACAAGGATCTGATGCACCTGTTTATCTGAATGTTCTTCATGGTAAGTTTATGATGATAGTAAAATTCTTCCTTTAAACTTCCTTTAAAAGATTTGTGTCTTGTTTTCAGTTTCAGTGTCTCCATCATCATCATCATCATCTTCATCCTCACAGACTGAGATCAGTCCAGGCCGCTCTGTGACTCTCTCCTGTCAGTTGTATTCATATGATGGAAACTCCTGTGATTATTTGGTTCGTTCTGAGGGAGTTGAGCTGTTGTGGGTGAATCAGGCTGGTGTTGATCTGAAGACAGACTCCAGATATCAGATATCATCATCATCATCAGATCAATATCGCTGTATCATCATCACTCTGACTACAACACTCCTGAATGAAGATAACAACAGAGAGTGGAGATGTCAGCTTACTCGCAGAAATCAACTCCAGACCTCAGTCACATACACTGTCAAGTATTCAGGTGAGAAAACACAGTAAGAAGACAGATTGTGAAAACTTTCTACTCTTTAATCACACGTCTTCACACGTTTGCCAATTGTATGGTCTCATTAATCAGTGTTAGAAGTTAAAGTTGTGTTAAAGCTGCAGTCTGTAGTTTTTCCTCTTTGTCGACATCTCTGTTCGGAATCTGCAATTGCAGTTATTTGTAGGTAGATTATACTTTGTTCTCAAATTATTAATGTTAACAACATCCAGCATTGCATGACTACATTTAAAGCACTTCAGATTTTCTAATGGGTCTGGTTGCAGTCTCTTTTTCCAACCTTTATAGATGCTCGAATCTCCCGCAGACATCCACCAGAACCACTCGAATTAAAAACATTATTATAAGCTGTTTTGAATTGAGCTACAGCAAGCAGATAGTTTTGAACACTGGCTGGTTATGTACTTGGTCAAAAAAATATTTTAACATTTCAAATCATTTTGAACCCAAAAAAGTTACGAACTTGAGCTTTAACTAGGTAAAATGTACATTTAATTATATATATATATATATATATATATATATATATAATGTTAATAAATATAAAAATATAATGGTAATATTGTACAGTATCAATCATCTAAACAAACTTTAATCCTTCACAGCTCCAGTTGATCCAACAACTGCAGTGAGTCCTTCTACACAAGGTACATGATCATGCTGATGCGTTTAAGCCATTGATAATATTATTCGACTACAATCACAGGTTCATAATCACAGTCTTTTGTCTATAATTGTCCTCAATCTGGCCTGTCCGTCTCTGACTCTGAGCTCGATCTCTTCTTCAGTCATAGGGATTTCTGTCGCTGCAGTTGCTGTTCTCCTTCTTGCTCTTCTCTGGCTGATCTACAGAAAAACAGCTGGTGAGATTCAGATTTACTCCTTTACAACAATTAAAAACAGTTCAGATGAGCAAACAAACACATCATGTTCAGACTGGAAGTATTAGAGTTGAGCCGGATACTCGGCTGAAACGAGTATCCGGTACGGATAAAGCACTTTTGTCGAGTACAAATATTATACGAGTAATACGAGTCAATATCTGTGCTCGGATAAAAAAAAAAAAAAGAAAGTAATGTTGAAATTAGGGCTGAGCGATATATCAATATAAAGAATATATATTTTAAATGTGATATGTAATTAGAGTTTGCGCTGCACGCCTTGCTCCAAGCAAGCTGCTGAGTGCTGACCCAGAGCTCTCTGCACTGCTCCCCGCGCCCCAGTCACTCCTTTTCCACTTTGCGTGCTTGATTAAAGCATGTTATGTTATAACATGAAATAAAGTCTTTCACCTCAGCAAAACAGACTTTGTCCTGTCAGCCGTTATACTGTAACGTTAGTCGTAGCGCACACTCAATTGCACGCGCAAATGCGGCGGCGCGCGCTGGATCGCCTCACTGTATATAAAGTGCAAAAGAAACTACGAGCATGCAACACCGTTATGTTGTAAATAACACGAAATAAAAACAAAGCAGGTATGATTTTAATTCTATTCACCAGGAGCAGTTTCAATGTTTCATTAACAGTATTGTGTATTCACCAAGGTAACTGTCATGTCTATATTAATCCACATGTTTCTGTGATACTTACTAGGGATGAGCGAGTACAGCATTATCTGTATCTGTATCTGTATAACCATATGAATTATCTGTATCTGTATCTGTACTCGGACTGGGCGGGGCCTAAACCCGGAAGTGGGTCGGGTAGTCTTGAAATGGGCGGGGCTTTAACCGGTATGTTATTTTAAGCATGCAATTGATATGGGTTGATCAGAAATTGTTATATTTATTGCTGATAAGAAAACTATTTACATGACAGCATCAGCATTGAGCTTCAGATCAATGGTTTTGATCACGATAACAAACGAACTACAGAAGAAGTTTTGCAACAATGAATACAACACATGTGGTTGCAAATATGAAGTAAAATGTAACGAACAAGAGTTTTCATCTCAACTACGGCTGGGTGATATGGACCAGTCATATCCCGATATATTTAGGCTGAATTTCAATATACAAAATATATCCCAATATTTTTTCTGCAAAGTGAGAGCAAACGTTCAGTCAAAGCCAAATATGACATGTCACAAGTAGTTTTATTGAAACTTGAACATTTGCTAAATCAAATGAATAAATAATAAACAGGTTTCTTCACCTTAGGGCTGCATGATTATGACAAAAATCTTAATTGCAGATTATTCCCTTGGAATTGTAATTGTGATTTATTAATTGGTTTATTTATTTTGTTAATACAACGTTGGTATGAGCCATTACATTCATTTAAAAAAGTATAAAAAATAACACAAAGAAAAATAGGGGCATTAAGGGGTTAACCACTTAACTGTCACCGTCCCACAGGTGGGACGTTTGCCACTATGTTTTTAAAACAATAATATCTTAGTAAATACTTTAAATAATATTGACAAACTATATCATTTGAAAGCTTACAATCTCTAGTTTCCATATTTGGTGACTGTTTTTCAAAATATATTACAGAGGAGCCATAATTTATCAATATAAAACAAGAATATTTTCATACTCATAAGGCGTGTTCAGACCTTTATTTTAAAATAGCAGTAAACATGAAAAATCATGAAAAAATGGTAGAAACCTCAGTTTGTTTTCATGCCAAAAGTTCAAAAGATAGAATCCATTCAATTATTTTGGAAAAAAAAGGTCTGAAAAGTTCGAAATATCAAGAAAAAAATAATAAATTCACCATTTGTGACGTGGCAGCTAGCTATGACTTACATGCGTGTTCTTTGTATGTGTTTCTTAGAGGTTCAATACATCTGCCAAAAATACATCAAAATCTGCCAAACTTCCCATACTACTTCTGAATAGGATCTCTACTTCAGAAATTGTATGAAAATTGTGAAAATAATGGTTCATATCACTCAAAACACGAATGGAAATGCAGACGCCCTTATATGGGCAGTAATGGAGTCTGATTGTGCCCTAGTGAAAAAGTTTGGTACTGCGCTCAAACAAAATCTTACTGAAAGCTCATTTTTTGAGATATCAACCTAAAATTTGAAACACAACTTGTTCAGATTTTTGGCTTTGATTTTTCTGCCATTTTAGAGTAGCCCAGGTTTTGAAAATATATATTTTATGTAAAATATGAATAATTAATATTTTTGCATTGTACATTTCCATAAACTCAAACCTCTATAACTTTTTTTCTGTTTCACTTTCTTAATTTATTTTACTTCTACAAAAATCTGCCAAATGTCTTCTTTAAAACAAGACCAATCATATGTCTATATTCCAAAGCATTCTTGAATTACAACCATTTAAGTTCGAAATGTGCATTTTCATGTCTATTCAAAAAAAGGGGGGGGGGGGGGTGACAGTTAACAGGTTAAAAAAACTGAAGTTTATTCCTACTGAGAAATCCTATAATGTCAATCTCTTTGAGTTATCAAGTCAACAATCATTTTTGTCATTCATTTTAATGCTTCAACAAATTCTGATTTAATTTCATGATGCACTTGTTTTCAGGTAATAAAAGAGGGACTGGCGACTCTGCGGTGAGTTCAGTAATGCAGTGATTCAGATTTAATTAGTCTTTAAAGCTCATTAAAGTGTCATTCATGCAGTTTAACTGTTTATTCTGAAGGTCAAAGATGAGGATGAACATAAAGAGACGTATGAGACGATCAACATGTCCATTCCTCCTGCTGCAAGAGCCGATGTGAGTCTCTAAATCATCAAACATTACGTTCACTTTTGTGTTATTCTACATATTTTAGTGAGAGAAATGTCTGTTCTGTGTGTTAAACTCGACTCTCTGTACGTTTGCATTGATGTTTAGGAGCAGACAGATGATGTGACTTATTCTGAGGTCACTTCTTCCAACACAAAGCCAGTAAAAGCTCTCGATGTGAGTAGATACCAGCACATGCACTAATAATAATAATAATCGCTGTGGTTCAAACATTGATGGACACAATCTGTGCTGTACTTTCAGGATCATAATGATACCGTGACTTACGCTGCCATCAGATGAAGAGAAGATAAACCGCAGGATCAACTTTACAAGAACTAGACCATAAATAAACATTAATGACACAGATCATGAGCTCATCATACGGGAAGTTTTCATCTCTCTGGTGTTTGGAGGAACTATATATGTGTGTAAATGAGTAGATCATCATAATCATCTGGTCTGTCGTCAGTCAGAGCACAGAATCTCCTCTATATCATCACAGCTACAGTAAAGATAGAGATTAAAGCCCTGAAATGTTTTCATACAGGCCATTTTTTTAATAAATGTCGGATATTTCTTTTTGAGTCAGGTCAAAAAGTCATTTTAAATCCATACAAATGTTAATAGGCCTATAGATCATTTTTAATAAAGTTTTAAATGCATATCTAATAAGTGATTATTATGAAGGTAGAAATACAATATTTTTTATTTAAGTATCAAATAAATTGAATGACTTTCCTAGGATTATGAGATTTTACCTAGTTATAGACCTTATTCAGAGCAGCGCCATGACAGGTATGAAAGTGAGGCTGTGAGGGATAGACTTACCGTATTTCCAAAGACATTTTAAGACTTTTCAAGGACCCGCGGGGACCCTGTCCGTCACTGGGGTTAATGGCATTTATGACTGTTCCCTTACCATCCTAGGGAAAAAAAATGATCGCTCTCCAGATGTAGATCTACATTTTGCTTCGTTTCGCTCGGACATTTGACGGCGTGTACAGACAAGCGGAATCACTCGTAGACATAAACACGGATAGCTCAAAATGCGTAGAGATAACACGCCACTTGACTCGAAAGTGGCGTTTATGTTTACGCAAAAGTCATGATGTCATGTTGATATTAGCGCGCCAAGTCAAAGTGCTCCCAAGCACTTGCTATGTATTCCGCCATACAATATAATTATCTACTTTTAACGCTTAGACAAGTGAAACGTTTTATTTAGTGTCAGCTTGGGTCGAGCTACACGACTCGAGTAACTGTTTTTAAATTTAAAATTGAGGAGGTGTTTGGTCGCTTCTCTTTTTTGCCCATATTTAATGAACTGGGCTAAGCTAATTGCTAACAAAGTTTCGCGGCAAGACAGAGCGATATAGTGCACGCACTGAGACAAGAGAGGTATGCATCAACTTGTCTTAGTTAAGGGAATTACATAGTTTAATATGAAAAACTGGTGGAGTATCCCTTTAACAGATCTGCTGAAAACACATTTCATGACAATAGTTCCTGTTCCCCATAACGTCAAATCTCCTAGCCACAGTTTTTCCCTTCAAACTTACTTCAATATATCATAGCAAAGCAGAAGTTGTGTCAACTAAGTTTGCAAGCTAAAGGCAGTTTTGCAAGCTTCATCTCTCTGAAGCAAAAGGATATGTGTTAAATATGTTGCCCTATACCTATTCATACATATACGAGATACACATCACACTTACTTTGTGGCAAGCAGAAACATACAGTACTTAACAGTCTGTCCACTTTATTTTTAAAACAACTTTCCTCAAAAAGTTTTACCCCAATTGACTGTGTTTTATAAGTTTCATATCAATCTTTCATTGAATCGCTCTTGTTTACATCATCTCTCTTGCTTTGGGGACGGTTATCTCCTGACGAGGACCTTCCCATATTCTATCTTCTCGTTTTCTTAGCTTCTCTTTTCTCTTCTTTGTTTTGTGTCTTTCGAAGACTGGCTCCAAGCAAATCATCCATGTTAATCTCAAGCTTGTTTGTTAAATTTTGTTCTTCACCCAGGAAATACTGAATAGAATCGACAAAGCTCAATGTTATTCAATGCAATTTCCTAATCGTTTTTTTATTGTCGTGTGTTCTTGACAGAAATATATGTATACTTACATGAATTCAATGAATTTCTTTTTTTCATTGATCTGAATTGACAAATTTATGGAAGCTTGTTTCTGCCATAGAATGAAAAATATAAAAGGTAATTGCAACTTTTTATCTCACAATTCTGACTTTTTTTCTCTCAATTGCAAGATATAAAGTCAGAATTGCGAGATATAAAGTCAGAATTGTGAGATATAAAGTCAGAATTGCGTGATATAAAGTCGCAATTGCGAGATAAAAGTCAGAATTGCGGCATATAAAGTCAGAAATACGAGATATAAAGTCAGAATTGCGAGATATAAAGTCGCAATTGCGAGATATAAACCCAGATAGCAGACTGACATTGAATCAAAGTGGAAATATAACATCAAAACAACGTTGATCTGACATTGTTTTGCTCATCGAATTAACGTTGAACCAACGTCAGACGCGTCATTCTTTCAAAACTAACGGAAAATCAACTTGAAATCAACGCGTTGTTTCGACGTTATGAAAGCAAACCAATTTTCGATTTTCATTTAGCTTTGAAGAATGCTGCGTCTGACGTTGGTTCAACATTAATTCGATGAGCAAAATCAACGTTGTTTCAATGTCATGAGAGACGTCGTTTCCACGTTGATTCAATGTCAGTTTGCTGTCTGGGAAGTCAGAACTGCGAGATATAAAGTGCAATTGTGAGATATAAATCAGAATTGTATGATATAATGTCGCAATTGTAAGATATAAAGTCAGAATTGCTATATATAAAGTCGCAATTGCGTGTTATAAAGTCAGAATTGTGAGATTTTAACTATTCTGAGGGGAAAAAAAGTTAGTCTTTTTTCCCCTTTAGAATTGGCCTGATAAGTTGCAATTGCGAGTTTATATCTCACAATTCTGAGAAAGGATGTCAGAATTTCGACATATAAAATCGCAATTATGTGTTATAAAGTCAGAATTGCGAGATGTAAACTCGCAATTGTGAGAAAAAAAGTCAGAATTGTGAGATAAAAAGTCGCACTTCTGTCTTTTTTTCTCAGAATTGCTACTTTACATCACCCAATTCGAGCAGAGCTTATATGCTCCAAGAACGGACACTGCACAAGTGATTTAAAACACACACAGGTCTTTTAACTTAAGCAATATTTTAAATAAGGTATAGTCTTATAATATTTTTCTCGCTGACAAAGTAGGGTAGATTTAAATAAATAAGAACAAAAATTTAATAAATAAAACAAAATTTAATTATAGAAAAACCGAGGCATGCACTTCTGTCCATTCAAACTCCGCTGTTCTGCGCTCTAGCCGGAGAATACTCCCATTGCAGGAACACTTTTTGTAGTCCAAGAAGAAGCAAATATATTTATTAAGTAGCTATAGCAAAGTTATATGTTAAGTATTATATTTCATCAGATTTTATAGTGCAGGCTAAAACGTATTCAAGCGTGAATGAGAACCGTTTCGAGGGGGTGCCAGGGTTGGAAAAAAAACAACAACAAATAATTGAATGTCACATTTTCAAGTTGAATACCAACTCACCGAATGAACATTCGAAAATATATCCCAATTTGGCTATAGGGTGATGTGTGGCTAACTTACACAAAGGAGACTTTGTTCCTCAGCACATAAAGAACTTATTACCATGATCTTAGACTGGAATTAAATGGTTTCTCCACTGTATGGATTAGGGCTGTTGGAACGAATTCCAAAATTTCGAATATATATAAAAAAAAAAAATCAATACTATTCGAATGTTAAAGTTACTACTCGAATATTGCTTTTATATATATATATATACTTCCGAAGTGACCAGGTGTAAACGGTCCCTTATCGCTTTCTTATTAACAATAGGAGAGCTAGCTTTCGCGTGACACATTCGCAACGTCTCGTTCACTCCCTCTCTGCCATGCACGCGCTGCACGCTATGTATGTTATGCGTGGATTCCGGGAGATTTAAACTAATTTGCGGCCATCAGGGAGACGCTATCAATATGCGGGAGACTCCCGGAACTTCCGACGCGATATGACCATCACATCACCTCAGATCTGAGCCCCTATTCATCAAGCCAACGCGCCGCAATCTATCGCAAATCAAAGTGAAAATAAGTCGCAGACGCTTAACACTACCATCTTCATTAAAAGTAGTGCTGTAGCGGCGCGTCGATGACGTCGATGATTCGACGTCAAAATTGCGTCGACGTCATATTTTGTGCGTCGATGCTTCTTTATTTATTTATTTTTGCATGTTCCCGGCGGTACAGCTTATAGAGGACGAAGACAACTAGAAGTGAATGTGCTATCCATTAAATTAATCACACACAGTAAACAAACCCTTAAGAAAAAAAAAATTGCAATTTAGACGCGCAAACTGGGTGCCGGTGTGGTGAGACGTACAAGCTCGGGCAGATTCGGCTTGAAGTCGTTCATCCCGGACGCGGCGCCGGGCGCGTTGTTACAAAAAAAGGCATACACACAGCCAGCCACAGTTTTCCTGGTCTTGCGCACCCAACGGGTCATTTTTGCCGTGCGCACATTCGCGCTCGTGCGGACGTGTCGAGTATAAACCAGGCTTTAACTCCGTGTCAGTCCGCGCTCTGATCAGTAGGTGAACTCCGCCTCCGACTCCGTTTCCCTCCTCAGCTGATATTAATATTTAAACATTCTCTATGATAAAAAATGTTTGTAAAAAATATTTTAATAACACGGTTTTGGCGGTTGTAGAGTTATGATGGTGTTCAAATACATAACATTAGACTAACGTTAGCCAGCTTATAGTATCTTGATTCAGTATGCTAGTATTTATTTGAGATATTGTTTTTTTATTAATTGAGCAGCAGAAAAAATATTCTTTATATTAGTCGTCCGATTAGTCGACTAATCGATAAAATAATCGCCCAACTAATCGTTTAGTTAATAATCGTTTACCCCAGGGAATGAAGATCGGATTTATATCTGTTTTGCAAAAACACATTTATGTGACCAGGTGTAAACAGCCCCTAAATGTTTATTGTAGTAATGTTAGATGTCCCTCTAGTGGGCCAAACGTGTAACAACAACCACAGGCTATAGTGGCATTGACGATCCATAAGAATGTGTAATGTCGTAAATATTAATAATAGGATAAATTTGAGCATTTAATATTCGAATATTATTCGAATATTACATAAAATAAGGAATGGAATTCGAATAGTATTATAGAGGAAGATTGACAGCCATAGTATGGATCCTCATGTGTTGCTTCAGGTCACGTTTAAAAGAGAAACTCGTCCCGCACTGATCACACGCGTGCGGTTTCTCTCTGCTGTGGATCCTCTCATGTTTTCTCAGAGTTGATGACACACTGAATCTCTTGTCGCAGTGTGAACACTCGTAAGGTTTTTCTCCAGTGTGGATCCTCACATGTGTTTTTAGATATGATGAGTGACTGAATCTCTTTTCACAGTGTGAACACTTGTAAGGTTTTTCTCCAGTGTGGATCCTCTCATGTGTTTTCAGATCTGTCGACTGACTGAATCTCTTGTCGCAGTGTGAACACTTGTAAGGTTTTTCTCCAGTGTGAATTCTCTGGTGCAGTTTTAAACCGTTTTCTAAAACGAAAGTCTTCCCACACTCAAAGCACACGTACTCTCTCACACCAGTGTGAGTTTTGTCATGTTTATGTAAATATTGCAGCAGTGAAAAACTCTTTCCACACACAGAACATGAATGCGGCTTCTCCTTCGTATGAACTCTCAGGTGTCTCTTCAGCTCTGATGCCCTAAGAAATGTTTTTCCGCAGTGATCACATGTAAACGGCTTCACTCCGGTGTGGATATTTATGTGTTCTTTAAGGTGTGAATATTGACTGTAATCTTTCCCGCATTGATCACACTTAAACGGCTTCTCTCCAGTGTGGATCTTCATGTGTCGCTTCAGGTGACTTTTACAAGCAAAACTCTTTCCACACTGATCACACGTGTGCGGCTTCTCTCCAGTGTGGATCTTCTCATGTGTTTTCAGATAGGATGACACACTGAATCTCTTGTCGCAGTGTGAACACTTGTAAGGTTTTTCTCCAGTGTGGATCCTCTCATGTGTTTTTAGATAGGATGACAGACTGAATCTCTTTTCACAGTTTGAACACTTGTAAGGTTTTTCTCCAGTGTGGATCCTCTCATGTGTTTTCAGATCTGTCGACTGACTGAATCTCTTGTCGCAGTGTGAACACTTGTAAGGTTTTTCTCCAGTGTGAATTCTCTGGTGCAGTTTTAAACCGTTTTCTAAAACGAAAGTCTTCCCACACTCAAAGCACACGTACTCTCTCACACCAGTGTGAGTTTGTCATGTTTATGTAAATATTGCAGCAGTGAAAAACTCTTTCCACACACAGAACAATGAATGCGGCTTCTCCTTCGTATGAACTCTCAGGTGTCTCTTCAGCTCTGATGCCCTAAGAAATGTTTTTCCGCAGTGATCACATGTAAACGGCTTCACTCCGGTGTGGATATTTATGTGTTCTTTAAGGTGTGAATATTGACTGTAATCTTTCCCGCATTGATCACACTTAAACGGCTTCTCTCCAGTGTGGATCTTCATGTGTCGCTTCAGGTGACTTTTACAAGCAAAACTCTTTCCACACTGATCACACGTGTGCGGCTTCTCTCCAGTGTGGATCTTCTCATGTGTTTTCAGATAGGATGACACACTGAATCTCTTGTCGCAGTGTGAACACTTGTAAGGTTTTTCTCCAGTGTGAATTATCAGGTGATGTTTTAAACTATTTCCTGAAATGAAAGTCTTCCCACACTCAAAGCACATGTACATGTTTCCTCCAGGTTGGACATGATGTTCCTCATTCACTTCACTCAGTTCCTCTCTCTCCTCCTTCACTTCCATCAGGTCTGACATGAAAGAAAAAAATATGAAGTGTAATTTTCAGAACATCAAAATAATTCTAAGAGGGAAATATAAAGTGAAAGGACATGGAAGTAAGCCCTGATGTAATGGTAGATAGTAGTCAATCGTCAATGACTTTTTATAAATTGATTATGTCTTTGAAACTTTTTATGAATGAGGTAAATTTATCTTTAACGATTATTATTTTTAAAACATTACAGGCTTGTTTCTTTAACAAGAATGCCATGTTTTGACACCAACTTTGAGATTGATATTTAACTAAAACATTTTAATTCACCCTAGATTGTTTCTTCATAGACTTCCATTCATGTGAATGTGGGACACCAGAAACACAAGCTCAAGTGAACGTTTAGCATTCAAGTTGAGTGGATTGTTTATTTTGAATTCAGTTCATTTTGTATTATTACTATTATATGGTATTATTATTATTATTATTATTATTATCTGTTAAATATAACAGAGTGTGACGTAATTTTACTACCGTTGCAGGGTCTGCAGAATTTCACATGCTCAAAGTGGCCGCGGCTTTAACTGGTTTTAAATTAACACGTTTTATTAGCTTTGGTACCGATAGTTGATTGGTGGAACTTTTGTTTCAGCAAAAATCCATGCCGATGTTTTTTCCTGGTCACGTCTGTCGCTGGAGCAGCTGAGAAGTGTGCACGGTCAGTACACAGTATGACAGCGTTGAAAGACTGCTGGCATTATAAAGAGCGAGAGCGCCCTCTAGATGAGAAATAACAAACTATCACTGGCTGAGAATAGTATTTAATTTAGTTTTTGGTTAACAATCAACATAAAAATGTCTCAAAACTCCCTTTACTGACTTTTTTTTTTAAACCCTCTGTACCATTTCATAGTTTTAACTCTTTATCTAAAAGTGATGAAGTGCTTGAATGTTTCTAACATGTATGTTCTCCAGCATCATGAATGAATGAAGAATAAACACCAACCTCTTTGTTCTTCAGGATCTTCAGTGTGTTTCATTCTGCAGGGTTCTGGATCACTCATGTTCTCACTGTCCTCTTTAATAAACTCAGTCTTTACAGATTTCAGCTCTTCATGATGCATTAATGCTCGTCTTCATTTGTAGCTGATGGCAATATTCCAGCAGTTATTGGAGAATTCCTGTGGGAGGAGCTTCACTTATGATGTGATTCAGTGTGGGAGGAGCTGATCTGCCAAAATTAAAAATATAAATTACTGAGTTTGTTTTAATAATAAACGACAGCATTATGTATGTCTATTCATCGTACTGTAACTGATGCCAATTCATTAATTATTTGTATTAATAAGCCAAACATTATTATGCTTCTTCATTAAAATACAGGTATCTAGAAATGTAGAAAATAATATTAGCCAACAAATCCCTGCAGTCTGCTGACACCAATTAAATTAGCTTTAATTGACAATTTTCAGTATCTAAATATAGTTTGACTTGATAATAACAATTGCAAGTAATTGCATCATTAACATATTTGTACAGAAAATGTAACATTTCCATGTCAAAATTTATTAATATTTAGCCTATCTATATTCCCATGCATGTATTTGAAATTGCCCACGTTCATTATTCATACAGGGGCAACATACACCGTCTACATCAATTTTAATAAGTAATATAATCTGCCTGCCAAAGATAGCCTAAATGTCGACAAACAAATAAACAAGGTAAACATGAAAATGGCCACGGCAACACTTGGAATCTTTTCCCACAAATTCCCCTCACAGATCTCAGACTTTGTGTTCTCACTCCAAACATCGAGACAATCACACAAACGAACACACACTCGCTCAGGTCTGAATGAACTCCACATTATTCTCCTCAGGCTCGCTGCTGTTGCACTGTGTATTTCAGGAGGAAGACGCCAGAAACGACGCACAAGTATCGCTGTGATCGATGAAAACAACACAGAAATGAATCTGTCGCTTGATCAAACTGTATAAAGTGTGTGTGATGGGTGTGTAAAGATGAGAAATACCGTGAACTGCTCTCCTCACCTCAGAAGACTCGACGCTGAACTCAAGACACGGCGCGCGCGACCGGTGACGTCATCGGCCTCCAACGCATGCGCATATGGAAACCCCCGCAGCAAATCAGGGCCACGCAGATTCAGCTTTACTAGTAGACTTCCATACATTATTGTTATTTTTAGTAAAAAGTGACTCCATTTACTAAAGGTGAAAGGAATTTTTTCAAGTGAAGCACAAAACAGGAGGATCGCCTCCATCCAGTCTGAAAATTGTTTAGAATAGTAGGCTATTATTTTCAGACTGTGATCCTCTGCGTATTAGCAAGCTTGTTCTTAAGTTTGCAGTTTAAATGGCCAAACCAAGCAGAGAGATAAAGGTTGAAACACTTTCAATGTAAACTCCGACTCAGTGTCCCCCTAAGACAAGTGATCAGCACTTGTAGAATTTCCTTTTGTTGAAACCCCAGATAAAAGTAAAAAGCTACTATTATGTTTAGATCCATGAGGCAGTTCGACTAGCGCATATCCTTATGAAAAAAAAAACTTCTACATAAGACTGTATTCAGATATTTTTACTTTATTCTACTAAAAGCTACTAATTACATATTCAGCTTTGTAATATGATTACTGTACCATTTTATATGAGTAATTCCTTATTTTACTATTAGAATAAAAAGTAATTAAATTACATTAAGTAATTAATTAATAAGTTAGAATTGCATTACACCCAACACTGATTTTTTAAATTGTATTTCAATGACTATTTAAAATACCCTTTAAACTTTGACTAGGCTAATGTGATGGATGGTTTTGCATGTGTGGTTTGCACAATAAGGAAACAAAACATGGAAATATGGGATCCAATGCATAGAGAGTAAATCAGTTCCACAGCATGTCTCATTAGTTCCGGGGTTTATTTTAAAGTCATGAAATATCGTAGCTTTGTGGTTGTGCATTGTATTGGATAATTTTTGAAGGTGAGAAGTTATAATAAATATCTTCAATGAATTAATCACAATTCATTCAATGAAAAATAGAATTCAATTCAATACAGTATAAAGATAAACATCCCTTCCTTGTGTTGAACATGCACAATTCTACATGAATAAAACAAATAATCCATAAAACACATTTTACAAACATACAAGGAAACAAAACGTGGAAATAAAGGATCCAATGCATAGAGTGTAAATCAGTTCTGTATAAAACTCAAGACAATGCACAAGATAATAACGATTGTGCCACATAATACAAAGTCAAAACAAGTAATATATTCGACGCCAAACACAAACACAAGTTCCCTAAGGAGTTCATTGCAGGAAAAATACACAACAAATCAAGAATTTATGTGTTTAATACACTTTTAACTGATAATCCTCCTGCTCAAACCGTGCAACTCATATCTTGTTAGTTCTGCTGTTGGCGGTCCCCATTCAACACGATAATTACCATCACCCTGATAGCACACGTACATCCCGGAGATGTCTATTTGATGAGTGCGTATTTTTTTTAAGAGTATTTGCTCATCTGCAATCAAAAGATGACAAAAAAAATCAGAAAGAGTTTTTAACTCCTAGACATGCAGTGTAAATATCAACTGCAAAATTCCCCCATAGAAAGTTTGCAAAAATGGACCGGTACCAACATCCAGACTTAAGCCCTATTCGCACGGGATTAGTATTACCTGGGGACCACGTGTGAAATTGAAATTACCCTCCCACATCTGAATTTCATGTGGCACATTCGCACAGGATAAGCAAAGCCTGTGATTTTACTCGAATTTACTGACTTATGCCACGGATATGATGTCATTGGCTCTGAAATGTCTTGTCGGTATTATTTTGTATATAGCCTAATAAATATAGCGCGCTGCGGCTGGCACGTAACTTACATTCGCAGCCTGACTCATATGAGTATTCAATGTGCGGCGGCTCGCTGATTGAATGAGACGACCCGGAACAGACCCGGTCTGTTCGTGTGTATAAATCGCTACTTATTATAAAGCGCACTGTCGTTTTTTGAGAAAATTAAAGACTTTATAGTGCGGAAAATATGACCTCGCACTCAAAATACTATCAAAACACTCCAACTCAGCCTCTATTCTTCGCGAAAGATGGATAAAAAGAAGCAGATGAAACAAAAAACTTGAAAAAAAACGATATACGATCCGGCCAAATCACAGAGATGTCGATTCGCACGGGACTAATATTATCACAGGACCTCGGTGTTCGGCGAAATATAGTAGGTAATTTGCGGGGGGATTTTTACTCTACAAATTACAGACATGGCCGATTCGCACGGGATTAAGATCACAGACAAACTCCGCAATTATTACAAATTATTACAGGTCACCAGGTAATACTAATCCCGTGCAAATAGGGCTTAAAGAGATGCCCTAAACACCTATCTTCACATACACAATTCAAGGTTTGAAATTACTTCTCAAGAGACAAAATCCTCACTCAAAACGAAATCCAACTCAACACGTGTGCAGCTTCTCTCCGCTGTGGATCCTCTCATGTGTTTTCAGATTTGCAGACGAATTAAAATTTCAGTACATTGAAATAATTCAAGGCAAGGCAAGGCAAGTTTATTTATATAGCACATTTCATACACAGTGGCAATTCAAAGTGCTTTACATGGAATAAATTAAAATAATCAAAAGAAATCAGAATAACTAAAACAGTTTAGAATAAAAAAAATCATAATAATAAAAATAATAAACATAAATAAACAGTATCAAAAATAAAATGAAGTACAGTAACAGTCGGACGAACAGTGGCACAGTGCTCATTCAGTAAATGCAATCAATATAAATAAAAATAATTAAGAGTAAAAATAAAATAAAGTAATACCCCTATCTGAAATGGAAGAGATTGAGCTGGTTCAAAGTGAATCCTGCTGTAATATTAGAAAGTAGACAACTTTTATATAAAATA